TCTCAATATAAAGAAAACAAAAATCCTCACAACTGGACCTATAAGCAGCATCATGATAAATGGAGAAAAGATTGAAGTTGTCAAAGACTTCATATTGCTTTGTTCTACAATCAACACCAATGGAAGCAGCAGTCAGGACATCAGATGACATATAGCACTGGGCAAATCAGCTGCAAAGGACCTCTTTTAAGTGCTGAAGAACAAAGATGTCTCCTTGAGAACTAAGGTATGCCTGACACAAGCCATGGTATTTTCAATCACCTCATATGCATGTGAGAGCTGGACAATGAATATGGAAGACTAAAGAAAAGTTGATGCTTTTGAGTTGTGGTGCTGGCAAAGAATGCTTAAAGTGCCCTGGATGCTAAGACATCTAACAAATCTGTCCTGGAGGAGGTGCAGCCCAAATGCTTCTTGGAAGCGAGAGTGGCCAGACTTTGTCTCACCTGCTTTGGTCATGTTGTCAGTAGGGACCATTCCCTGGAGTAGGATGTCATATTTGGTGAGGTGGAGGGTCAATGAAAGGGGGGAAAGGCCCTCAATGAGATGGATTGACACAGTGGCTGCAGCAATGGGCTCAAGTATAGCAGGGATTGTGGGGCTGACCCATGACTGGGCAGTGTTTTTTTCTGCTGTGCACAGAGTCACTATGAGTCGGAAATGATTCGACGGCACCTAACAACAACTCTTTACTGCTGGAAGCAAAGTCATCAGCGCCTTTAAGGTTAGTCAGATTTGAGAAACAATTGAGAAAATTCATCCTTATGATTTTGCTTCTCTAGAACTGTTCTTGGTACCAAATGTTTTTAGGCTGCATTCTCTAGAGAATCAAAACCAGTGAAGCATATATATACATAAAGAAAGAGAGATTTATCTCAAGGAAATGTCTCATATGGTTGTATAGGCTGGTAACTCCCAAGTCCGTGGGTCAGGCGTCAGGCTGGAGGCTTCTCCTGACTCATGTAGCTGTAGGGACTGACAAATCCAAGATCAGTGGGTCACATGGCTGACTTCAGGGCTCACATGCTGCAGAGGCTATGAATCCCAAGAACCAGAGGTCAGAGGATGATGAGCCAGATGCGTGATTCAGAACAAGCAAGCAAGCTTTTGCAGACATCCATGTATATGCTGATGCAGGCTATGCCTCCAAGGAAATTCCACTTAATAACTGACGATCACACAGACCACATCATGGACAATGATTACATCATTACATAACTGCCAAACTACTGAGAATCATGGCCCAGCCAAGCTTACCCATCACATTGACATGTTCTGAATTGTGTTGTTAAATGCTTATCACACTTCCCCAACATAATTGTAAGCATCTTTAGGGTGGACTCTGTGGATTGTAATTTTATTCTTCAGATAACTTGGACAGTGCTAGGTACATGGGTCTCACTAAATGCATGTCCAAATAATAAGAGTTGGATGGATGTAAGACTGAACACATTGTAAGAAAGCTCCATCACATTCCCTCACACCCCATCAGAAATTTCTTCAAAGTTTTTTTTCTGTTAAGTCAGTTGCACAAGTCACTTGACTTCTCTGCACCTCAGGTTCCTCAGGGATGAGATGATTAGATGAGATCTCAGTTCTGATGCTCTGTGAGTCTAATATTATCACACATTTCTTTGGCTTTCCTGGGCCTTCAATTCTCTCTCTCCTTCATTTGATCAAAAACTAACTTTGAAAACATTTCCCAAAATTTGGCCTCCAAAGAAAGTTGAGATATGCAAAAATAACGTGTTTTTGTTTTTGTTTTTTTAATTTTCGTATCCTAAAGCACTTGACTGCTAACCAGAAGGCTGGCGGTTCAAACTCACCAGTCACTCCTCGGAAGGAAGGTTGGGCAACCTACTTCTGTAGTGATACCACCTTGGAAACCCAAGGAGGGGTCACTATGAGTCGGGTCCGACTCCACGGCACATAACAACAACAACAACAACAGTGGGTTAGGGTATAACAGATAGCTGCAGAGGTGTTTGTTCTTAAGCTAGTAAAGTTGTATCAAGCAGATGTGTGTGATGAATACAGGAAGTTGTTGTGAGTTGGGTATGAGGGTGGACTTAGAGGAAATCTCTTAGACCCTAAGCCCACAGGAATATAAGTGGTGTATAGGTGGTGAACAGGGGTCCATCCCTCAATTCTAAATTGTGTCATTTGAGGCTTCTAGCCCATAGTCACCTTGTCTTCTCTGGCTCTCATCAGCTCTATGAGAAAGGATGACTAAACAGATAGCTTCGGTGGGTGGGAGGCAGATTTTACTGCTTCTGGGCAGTCTCACAGCCACAGACCCAGACCTCAGGGCTGTACTATGCTGCAAAGCTGGTGACTGACTGAGAATTTCTTCTGGCCTCAATCTTATGGGCTGCTTTCTTCCCCAAGAGGCCATTTCTCACTTTTGCTTGAAAGCATAGTGTTTGTCTGTCTGTCTCTATTCCCCCAACAGTTGTCAGGATGTCACGTTGCTTCAGACTGCCTTTCTGATTCAGTTTGTTCATCTGTAAAGCAGGCATAATAATGTTTATACCGAACCTGACTCAGTTTGGGGTCACAAATTCTTTGAATGCCTTTGATGCATGGTAAGTACCAACCATTGCACAGCCTGTTCCTAAGCCATTTTGTGTACATTTGATTCTGATGCCATCTTCTTCTTTTTCCAGGTAATAGTTCATTTCCGGGCCAAGAACCTGAATTCTGTTTACTTCTCCCAGCTGTGCAAAAGCACATTCAAGTGAATAACTAAAAATGCAACCGCAGTGCATGTCGCAGACAGCAGCAGCAGCAGGCAGGCCAGGACCTGGGAGAGGTCTGCCCGGGAATCACGCTGCAGTCCAACACACAATTGCTATCTATCCATAGACCATTCTTGACCAAGCAAGCATGCACATCATGGGCAGTTCCATACTCAAGTTTTTAAAACCAAGGGGAACTTGTATACTGGGCCTGTTTTTCAGCCTGTTTGCTACCTTTTTTGCATTCTATCCCATGTGAATTTTACAGACACTGGGCTAAAAAGGGTATTTGGACATTGGGACACACATTTCTAGAATGTCAATATATGGTCCTAATTCCGTGTCACCAGACAACAACAAACAAGACCCTGTTTACAACGTTTTCTTTCTTTTAACTTTTAATTTCAGATATTTCCAAGAGATTATTATATATGACATATCTATAGCTATGTGTATGGCCATAGATGTATTTCTGTATGTACATATGTATAGTCATGTATTCCTACATATGTACAGACAAATACAGAGATATATAAAGTACATAGAGATTCCTTACTTGTAAATAGCCAAAAGGTATTGACATGAATGATGAATTTTCACATCTAAATAGTCATCAACATGAAGCCATGTTTAATGCTTGTATAATGTGATGCAATAAAATTTAAAATAAATTTATGCACATGGAATATTTCCAGCTGGGTCTTCTGAAATTCTGTTGTATTTTCTTTGCAAAGAATACAAAGAATCATAGCAGAATGAGATCTTTCATGAAAGTTCTGTCACGCCCACACTACTGAGAAATTACTTCACCCTGCAGAGTCTAAACTTTTCTTTCTAATCTAACTTTTCCATCTTCTTCCATGCTACCTTCTAGGGGTGCAGGGCCAACTAATTGGAAATCGATTTAAAAAGCTTGGAAAAATTCATTAAAGCAGTTTGTTGAGAAAATATGAAGTATAACTAATCTACTTAAGAGGCTTTGGATTTCCTTGCCTGCATGTTGTTGACTGCCATCAAGTCAGCCCCCAACTCATGACAATCCCATACACAACAGGGTTGGACCATTCCATTGGCTGATTTCCAGAAGTAGCTCATCAGGCCTTTCTTTCTCATCTGTCTTAGTCTGGAAGTTCTGCTGAAACTTATTCAGCATCCTAGGAACACACAAGTCCCCCAGTCAGACAAGCGGTAACTGCACTGGCTGGGAGTCGAACCTAGGTCTCCCACCCGGAAGGCAAGAATTCTACTTCTGAACCACCACTACCCTGCCAGCTGTTTGATGTTCTTGTTATGTGCCATCAAGTCAATTCGAACTCATAGCAAGCCTACAGAACAGAGTAGAACTGCCCCATATGCCTCCTAACATGTTCGATTCATTCTAGAAGAGGGGCTGTTGGGGCAGAGAGGGTGGTTCTAAGCAATGCCTGTTGTAATTACTTTTATTCCAGTGATGTGGAACCTGGTTTTGAACTGTAATCACCTTAACTGTTTCAGCTGGGGGAGATGAGAGTGCTGCCATTATCATGCTCACTAAACACTGTGTCACCTTGGCTGTGGGTTCATTCACCCACTCATTCCCAAAGACCCAGTGTTCCTTTAGATAAGAACAGTCAGAGTGGCTTTGGGCAGGCTAAAACTTCCAACTCTTTCTAGTTTCATATTTCTAGCACTCTCTCTGACCTGACATTATTGGAACTGAAGCACGAACACTACTAGGGCCTAAACAATTAAGGAGATACCTATTATGGGAATTGAAAGCGACAGTTCATTGACAGAGTTCTTTTTCAATCATTCAGTAAAAGAGATCTGTGAAATATTTCACACTAGCCCTGGAGAGAGGAATTTCCAAAGAAAATCTCAAGAGCTGAAATTCAAAGAAACACTCCAGAGGACTTGTCCTGCTGACTCAGCATTGTAATTTTGTTTGTCCTGCCTGAAGTTCCACCCCTACACCATGGTGCAATAAATCCTTGGATTTGACACATTCATATCTGCTCTCATACGTCTGAGGCAGGAAGAGTAGTGGGGCTGGGAAAGGAATTCTGAGTTCCTCCTTGTTTGGAGCGTGCCCTGCACATTCAGAACTGAATATAAATGTGTCAAATTGTGCTGAGTTGGCAAAGTAAGGCAAGGCACTGTTGTTGTTGTTGTTGTTATGTGCCATCAAGTCGGACCCGACTCATAGCAACCCCTTCTTGCGTTTCCGAGGCAGTATCACTACGGAAGTAGATTGTCCCATCTTCCTTCCGAGGAGCGGCTGGTAGGTTTGAACCGCCAGCCTTCTGGTTAGCAGTCAAGTGCCTTAGGCACTATGCTACCAGGGCTCCTAGGCAAGGCACTAGTCAGGATAAATAAGTAAACATTTACTAAATACCCCTTTCTACCCAGTCTGACCATAAACTCAATCTAAGAAAATTCTATGGCCATACATTTTTTTTCTCCTTGTGGAATTCAGTCTTTGCTACTCCAAGTGTTTTTGATCATTACAATCCCTGATAGTGTATGTTTCTAGCATACAATTCCCTTCCTGCCTTCCTCCCTCCATCCCTCCCTTCATTTGGTTTCTTTGTTGTTATGTGCGTTGAGTCAGCCGGACTCATTGTGACCCCTCCTTGGGTTGCTGAGGCAGTATCACTACAGAAGTAGATTTGCCCAACTGTGTTCCTTTCTTTCTTACTACCAGCACAGTGAATGCATTTATTCACCTTCCTTATTTGGAGTATAAGAGACATGTGACAAATATCTTAAGGTATTTTTAGGTTTGTGGGATAAGAAAAGCAAAGCAGGTTTAGAAGAGAATTTCTTTGTAAGAAATAAAATATTTATTGTATGGATGCATGGTAGGGAAATAATATGGCCAGCAAAATCTTAGCATATGTTTCTGATTAACTTTTTTTTCTAAATCGGTGGTAGAATTTTTTAAATATAAGGCATGATAAGCATCCCATAATTTGAGGATGTGCCTAGTCTGCCTAATCCTAGGATTCTTCATAAAACTAAAATATTGCTAACATCCTACCTGAACACTATTCTCCATCAAAACCTTGGCTGGCTGGATCCCTCTGGAAAGTAGTGATTTGGGACTAAAGGTATCCAAATATTTTAGCTTAAATGGAAATTTTCCATAAATCTACCACACATGTTCCATACTTCTTAAGCAAAGGAAATTAAAACCCCGTTTTCATTCCTTTTGGCAGTTCAGTGTCCTCTCTGTAATATGTTATTCTAATCTATGTAATAACAGTGATGTACAGTAGAGGCAGATTAAGAACATAGCCAGGCAGATTAAGAACCCCTGCCAGGCAGCAGACTCCCCTGGCTTTGACACTCCAAAACCTTGAATGATTCTCAGGGAACAACTAATAAAAGACTCAACTTTGCTTCCTGATTTCAGAGCTGACCACTCTATTTGCACACTCTTCTTTCACCTCAGGAACAACTTCACACTAGTCAGACCCATCTTACCATCCTCCATAATGACAGATTCCTCCCCTCTATCTATCCAAAGCTTTGCTTGTACTTTCTCTCCATGCACCATGTTCCCTGGCATAATATTTCCTCTCTTCTTTGCCTATTCAGATCATCCCTAACTTAGATGATAGCCCAAATTCCAACTCTTCAACAAGTACATCTCCCAACAATTCATGTCCACTGGGCTGCACCACCTCCCCAGAAGTGTCCTGCATACCCCATCCTACTCACTCAGACTCTTTCTCTCTTACTCCTCGCTAGTGCATGCATCCCCATCTTATTTTGCAAGATAGCTTGTAAATTACAGAGGTCAAGAACCACACCTTCACTTTCCCCAATACGTCACAGTGTGACATCTTGCAGTCCTTCATAAAATACATGAATCTAAAGGGTGGACACTCTTCAGGCTAACTTTTATTTATAGTAAGGAGTTAAAGCAACTCAGAGCACATCTTATATATAAGTGCTAGCAATTTTTTTTCCCAACACGCCATTGAAAAATTTCCCAAGATTGTCTATTGACAGCTAGGATTTAGGTAGCAATTTTATTAGGAGCTCTGGTGGTATAATGCCTAAGGCATGTGACTGCTAACCAAAAGCCTTGCAGTTCAGATCCACCAGCCACTCCCTGGAAGGAAGACTGAACAATCTACTTCCATAGAGATACTGCCTCGGGAACCCAAGGAGGGATTGCTATGAGTCGGAACTGCTCGACTGCAGTGAGTTTGGTTTTTGGTTTTCAACAAAAAATTGTCAGTGTTCCCATTACATGAGTGAATATATAGGTGTTGTAAAAGTACTTGAAGTATTCAATTTAGATCCTATTAATTTCCTGGTTGAAGAAAGGGGATAAATACTAAAGCTGTTGTCAGTGAGACTATGCACAGCCACACTCACCTTGCACAGACATTAGCCCCCCAGGAGGTAATCTTTAACTTTCTTTAATTCAGATCTTGCTAATTAGAACTTAGACTCATTTGAGTGAGCTGAGTTCCAATATGCAAAGCAGATACTGTGAACAAAATACAAGAAATGTTCAAACTATTTTATAGGAGTAATTTATATAGTCATGCTTCACGTAACATCCATTTGGGCAATGTCCGAGAGCATATACATCCGCGATTCCAACACTTGTAAAGCCTGTGTTGTACTTAAAATAGCTTGTAATAATAAACAACTGGTACTTTGTGATAAGGAGTTCTGGTGGCGTAGTGCTTAAGGCATTTGACTGCTAACCAGAGGCTGACGGTTCGAACCCACAAGCCATTCCTCAGAAGGAAAATTGGGCAATCTACTTCCATAGTGATACTGCCTTGGAAACCCAAGGAGTCATTATGAGTTGGATCCGACTCAAGAGGAGTGAGTTATTTGAGTTTTACTTTGTGATACACATCAAACCATTATTAGTATTATTATGTTAAAGTGCATTAGTGTATCTGAAAGTGTTTCTTTAATGTGCTTTTATGCATAGAAATGTACACTGTATACTATATACTAAGATAAACATTTGACTGATATTAAATAGGAACTGTGCCTAACTGTTCTGACTTACATACAAATTTGACTTAAAGATAACAGAATTCATTCATAATCCAGGGACTGTCTGCTTATGATGTGGTGTTCACACAACATCCAAATCACATAATGTCCTATTTCACAGAACACATCATGGACATTAAGTGACATGTGACTCTATATAGCATTATTTGCTAATAATAAGCCAAGCTATGTTAGGTGCCATCAGTCATCTCCAACTCATAGTGACCCTATGCACAGCACAACAGAACACTGCCAGGTCCCATGCCAGTTCCACGATCCTTGCTATACTTGAGCCTGTCACCAGAGCCACTGTGTCAATCCATCTCATTGAAGGTCTCTTTCGTCGACCCTACACCTTACCAAGTATGACATCCTTCTCCAGGGAATGATCCCTTCCGACAACATGACCAAAGTCTGGCCATTCTCACTTCCAAGGAGAATTTTGGCTGCACCTCTTCCAGGGCAGATTTGTTAGTTCTTTTAGCAGTCCATGGTACTTTCAGCATTCTTCACCAGCACCATAACTCAAAAGCATCCACTCTTCTTTGGTCTTTCTTATTCATTGTCCAGCTCTCACATGCACATGAGGCAATTGAAAATATCATGTCTTATGTCAGGCACACCTTAGTCCTCAAGCAGACATCTTTGCTCTTCAGCACTTGAAAAAGGTCCTTTGCAGCC